GAAAGCCAGCAGGGTGACTCACGAAAGGTCCAGGCGTACCCGGACTGGCACCGGACGAAGAGCCCTTTGAAGAGGCCTGTGACATTGCAGAAGTGGTAACCATGGCTGCCTCTGCTATGGCTCTAGTGTCTGCTGCTAACGCTGCTGCTAGTGCCCTCTCGGCTTTGGCTGCTGCTTCCCTTGCCCTCTGCAAGCGTCTCCTCTCTCGAGCTTCCCTCTGCAGTGTCGTTTCCTCACCTGGTCCTCTCTCCAAGTAAGTAATCAGCAGACTGGCTAAGTGCTTGTCTACGAGTAAACCTTCCTTCCGGATCTTGTCCCTCAACCTCACTGTCATCTTCACTCATGAGCTATGCGTGGCATGCGATCTGCACTATTGTCCTCGCTGGTACCTACCACAGTGTGGCATTGAACCGCTTCTTAGAATAAATAAAATAAAATAATTATCCGGTCCAGATATGTCAGATAGTAGTCAAGCGGTAACAGCAGATAAGCTCAGACACCTACAAATAATTCTACTCCTATTTTGACAAGTCTAGAACAGATTGCAATGCAGCAAAGAATAATCATTACCCTGCCTGCAGAAGTCTGTCAGTTGTCAGCAAAGTCCGTAACAACTCACTAATTCAAAATAAAAATAAACTCATTTGCTGGAATGCATGCTGAATGGATGCTGAATGGAAATAGAACAATAATAAACAATCGAGTAGTTAATGGAATCCTCCACCCCCCTCAACCTTTCTTGAGTGTCACTTAATGTCGACGTCCCCAAAGCTCTGGTTGAGAAGTGTGTCTAGAGGTGTGCATTTCGCCCACCTCTGTGCCCCAAGTCAATGCAAGACTGGCCAGCCCCGTCCATACTATTTTCATACTCCCATACAGCACTAGTCGTGTATCCCTGCCGGAGTCTCTTTATAGACAGTCCCGTACTCGTCTCTCTCTCCTAGGGCTGGCCTGCCCAGCACGACCTCTACAGCGCAGCAAAGAAGACCAAAGGACTCAGCAGCAAAGCATGCGTGCTCTACTCCCAGTGGGTTGGCATGGTGACCGTGACCCAAGTGCTTTGTCCAGGGCCCTTCAGAGGGCAACGCCCGTCTCCCACCAGCATGCTCCCCAGGCAGAAGGTTGACTCTCAGGGTTGAGCGCTCATGACACCTCACTATGAGAGGACTCTTAAGACAAGACATACTTCCTCATGGTAAGAAGTATCGAAGACGGTAGATAAGGTAAGGAGCAACGTACCTCATAATGCTGCCCCCAACCACAGATTTCTCACCAGTAACCTGACGTGCATTTATGATGGCCGGTCGATGCCTCTGCACAACCCACA